CACTCTTCCTGAATGACACCTTTGACATCCTCCCACAACTCATCTGGTCTTCGCTCATTAGTGTTCAAGGCCTCAAACCTGTTCGTACAAATTTATCTTGAAGATTTATGCAACTAACATGCTCATTAGAGACAAGGATGATGGAACTTCATCTCATTGACTTTGGGCATATTTTCAGGAGGAACAAGTCCTTCATGAGAGACATCTTTCTTTTTAATTATTATTATTATTTTTTGTGTGTGTACCGTCAAATCGGATCTGACTGGTACAGGAGGAGATTGTCCCTCCTTCTCCAGCAGAGGATCTGGTGGTTTCGAACCGCACACCTCTAGGATTGCAGTGCAGCTTCTTGACACTAGGCCACCAGAGCTCCCTCATGAGAGACATCTTGCTGAGAAGGTAGCAAGCCAGTGAGAAAGAGGAAAGCCCTCATGAGACGACTGACAGTTGTCTTGAACAGAACAGAGATCATGAGGATGGGACAAGACAGGGCAGAGTTAAAATCTGTTGTTCATAGGATTGCTGTCAGTTATAGTTAACTTGATAGCACCTAACAACAACACTGAATACAGAAAATAAGATCTTCCAAAGATTCAGGAGACCCAACTGTACAATCCAGGTGGGAGAAGATTCTTTTTTTTTTTTTTCTGTGAGAGAAACTTGTATTTAGAATTAAAATTAGAATTAGCCAGTTGAACTCAGTTTAGATGATCGCAATTTTGTGGGCAACATCCAAAGCATCATAGTCAGTAGCAAGTTGAACATAGGCCTTCTTTTCTCCATCAGGCCTAATCAAAGTGTTGACCTTAGCCGCATCAATGTCATAGAGCTTCTTTACAGCTTGTTTGATTTGGTGCTTGTTGGTCTTGACATCCACAATGAACACAAGTGTGTTATCTTCTGTCTTCTTCATGGCTGACTCAGTGATCAGGGAAAACTTGATGATGGCATAGTGGTCAAGCTTGTTTCTCCTGGATGCGCTCTTTCAGGGGTATTTGGGCTGCCTTCAGATTCTCAGTGTCTTAGGTCGCTGGAAGGTGGGTGACATGCGGATCTTTTTTTTTTTTTGGCTGTGGAAATCCTTCAGGACTGCCTTCTTGCTCTTTAATGCCTTTGCTCTGGCTTCAGGTTTGGGAGGGGCAAGGGCTTCTTTCTTCCCTTTTGGCACCATCTTCGTAGGAAGGCAGAAGAGTCTTAAATATAATTGAAAACTAAAATCATTAGAGTTATTTCATTAAGTAATGTAACTGTATATAGTCTCTTTCCAATGAAATTTTAATGTCTGGAACACAGGTAAACTAATCCACAAATCTCAACAACAATGACAAAAACACTTAATAAAGAAATGAGTTAGAAAAAAAAAGAACATGCAGAAATGGAAAGTTTCTAAAAATCAGAAAAGAATGGAAGAGATGAGATGAGATCATAAAACTCAGAAAGGAGAAATGTCCCATGGCTGACCAAAGAAGAGGCAGAATAGATGGTAGGCCTGCTCACACTTTTTTGTGTCCACAGAAGCATACACATGATATGCTCAACTGTACACTCATGTGAATGCCTGTGCCTCCACCGAACAGAAGATTAAAACATGGAAAAAGGTCAACCCAATGGCTCCGGAGAATAGGAAATGAGGTGAAGGCAAAACCAGAACAGAAAACATAAAAAAGGAAAGAAAGGCCAATTGCATTTAGGAACACAGACCCCCAACACTTAAGAGAAGTATTTAACCCACCAGGCTGAGTGACCAAACAGAAACACACCACAATCAACACCAGAGTAGTGTGTTTCTAAGGGAACACAGAAATCTCCTGAGTGCCCTGAGCACTCCACTCCCCATGGTCCTCACTGCGGTGTGGACGGCTGCTTGAGGCAGTCGCCTGACCTTTACCTCCAGCATGCAGGCCAGGAAACAGTGACCAACAGGACCAGGGCCATCCCTGGCCTGGCCTGACCTGGCTCAGGCCTATTCTCCATCCTCTACTCCTTTCTGCAGGCTTCTCCATTCCAATTCCCACAACATCACCTACACAGGCACTGGCCCCAGGAAAGAGGCTGCCTCTCAGACCTTAGCCACTTGCCCATACTCCCCCTACCACTCAGAAACCCCACCCTACTCCTCATCCACCCTGCTTCCCACTCCCCCTACCTCTCAACCACCCCTCCCGCACTCCCCCTATGCCTAGCCCACCCCACTCCCACTCCTTCTACTTCCTCCCCTTTTCTGAGGGCCCTGGCCTTTGCTATCCTCACTCTTCCAGGTCAGAAAACAGCCCCAGGGGGCTCCTCCCAGGGCCTGTGACACAGTTGTTGGTAACCAAACACTCCTATCACATTCTTTCAGGGGAGGAAGGGCCTGTTTCTTTAATAACATAACTGTTCTAATAAATCTATCTTTGCTTTTTACCTTCAAAACCAAAAAGACAACATTTTGAAAGAATGATTTTTCTGGGCTTTAAGACTTAGGATCTTGGTCTTAGGAGATCTACCAAGTTCATGTTTGGCATCCTAGTCTGTTGAGCGGTATCTGGGAAGTATGAAAACAGCTATATATAATTATTGGTCTATATTTGGATTGGCAAAAGAACAAACAAGTATGTCCTGGAGAAAGTGCAACCAGGGTGATCCTTGGTGAAGCAAGTATGGTGAATCTTCATCTCTCATACTTTGTTGTTAGGGGGGTCCAGTCCTTAGAAAAGGACATCATGCTTGGAAAGGTCAGTGTAAGAGAGTAAAACCCTCAATAGATAGACTGACACAGTAACTATGACAATGTGTTCATGTGTGTCAGAGATGGTGAGGATTGTGCAGGATAGGGCAGGGTTCAGGTGTGTTGTTCATAAGGTGGCTAGGAGTCAGTGTTGACTCAGCTGCACAACTACAACTCATCAGGGGGTCTAGTTGTGCTGCCAACGCAAAGTCAGTTGGTTCGAATCCACCAGGTAGTCCCTGGAAGATGGGCAAGCAGAATGAGTTGTTTTAGGGTTTTTTGTGACTCATCAGAAACAAAAAGGAAGCCAATGTGTCAGAGAAGAAACCCATCTAACAGCTGACATTACTACCCTGATGTGACTTATCTACCCTGAGACTAGACAGTACCTGGCTGCCAGGTTCAGAACGGGGCCAAACTACAGGGACCCTAATAGAATGGGAGGGACACATAGAACACAACTCAAATTCTTAAAAAGTCCAACTGAGTCATGAGGACTTGCTGAGACTTCTGCCCTAAAGTATACTTCAAACATTAAGCCCAAACTCCCAAGAACACCTTTCAGCAAAATAACAGACTGGCACATAAAACAAAGGATGTATTTCCATAAGTATGGTGTTCTCCACTGAAAAACCATCTACACAACCACAGATCAAAGGAGCACACCACACCACACTACTGACCACACATGGGTCTGGCAGGACAGTCCTCCTGGCTAGCTCATGAAATAATTGTAGACATGTACACAGATGAGCCATCAGGGGTCAAAGCTATGTAAGTTTCTTAATCATAAGCAGACACCCTGACAGACGAAGTGCTGGTCCTGGCACCCTGGGAGTACAGGGTTGAGGGCATCAAGGTCTTTATTCCCAAGAGAGAAAGACCAGTGGCTGCCCCATAGGTGGCTGCTTGTAAGCTTTGAAGACCCCTGTTGCCACTCAGCAAAGCAGGGTGTAGAGCATTGTCTTGTGGCCCATGTTATGTCATTTGACCTTGATGGATAGGTGATTGCTGCAATGGGCTCTTGTATGTCAGGAAGTGTGAGGATGGTGCAGGATAGAACAGGTTCAGATCTTTTGTTTATAGGGTCGCTGTGAGTCGTACTAGATTCAACAGCACCTAACAACAACACACAAGGTGAATAAAAGACCAATTTGATTTAATAAATTCACTTAGCTCACAATTAAAAATTAGAGAGGTAGCATTTGTCCTGGATAAAGCTCAGAAGGTAATAAAGGACAGAAGGGTGACAAGAGGAGATTAGCAGAGGGAGGGAGGAAGACGTGCTGTTATAATCTGGGGACAAACTCAACATTCCACACCAGGGGTGTTTGCTCTGCAAACTTTTACTTAATGCACAACCAGAAATTAGAGGTAAAGAGAAACACTCAAATGAAACCATCAATGATTATCCTAAAGCAAAGATGAGAATACAAGGGAGTAGAAAACTAGAGGACAATCTGAAGATGTCACGAATGCCACTGAACAATTTTTAATCTATAAATTTGACGGTAGGAGCTGTCAAATAGGAACCTTAATTTACCGTGTAACCTTCTCACTGGAAACACAGTAAATGTTATTTTAACCCACCAAACCTAGTCAGCTGACCCTACCCCTGTGTCCAGTCAACTGTTAGCAGGTTGAAGGCCCTCACCCTTGGGAATACTCCTCACCTCCACCATCTGCCCGTGCATCTCCCTGCATTGAGCAGCTGCAGTATGACATGATTCCTTGCCCCAAAGCCTTTCTGCTCTGAACCCAACTCCCAAGATATGGGACCCCCAGGGCAGAGCCACAGTGCCTCAGGACCTCCTTGCCCACTTGCCCGCCCACCCAAAGTGCCACTCACAACTGAGACTTGTTGCTATTGGGCCCCGAGTTGGCCATGCTGAGGATCCCCCGGCCTGAGTGTGAGAGGTTGGAGCGGAATTCATCCCGGAAAGGCTTCCCCCAGCACGACACTCCACCTGGCAAGGAATAGGGCACGGCATCTTGTTAAGCCTCCACGGATGTCTGCCCCACACAGGCCACTTCTAGGTCACTCCGCCTGCTGGCATCAGCTCACCAGTCATCATGTCCCCCTTCTAACGACTGGTGTGGGTGCACTACATAGCCTTTTAAGCAACCTTGCTCCCTCTGGTATTAAGGGCTTCCCCCCCTTAGGGGTTAAGAAGTAGCAGAGGAGAGGTGGAACAGCTCACACACCTCTCACACTCTGACTTGTCTCAAGGGAACTCAAAAGAATGAATGATGGATTAGCACTTACTGGGTGCTGGGCACCCATCACAGAGCCCCATCTCCACCCAGCCCCTGCACCCACATCGGGAGGCATCAATTTTAGGGTGCAGCCCAAGAACAAGCCTTAAATTAGGGTTCTGCCACAGGTTTTTACTACTCCTGTAGGGTGTTGGTCATAGACGGAGCTAGGCTTGAGAGGCAACGGGGGACCAGCAGAGTCTGGCTTCTGGGCCCAGGTCCCTGAATGGCTCCTTTGAGTCTTCCTGGACAGCAATGTGCCCATGGAGGCAACTGTTCCTCAGCCTGCCTCATAGCCTGGCCATCAACTGGCTGTCCTGATTGAACCAGGGGCTCCTCCTCTGTCACACAGGGCATACCCACCATCTGGAGGATAGCATTTAGACAGCTGGGGGGATGCTGGGCTGCCTCAGAAATTCCTGAGAAGAGCTAGGAGGTCTCAGGCCCATCAGATGGGTAGCAGGAATGGCTCTATACTGGTTCAAAGGGCCATCTCAGAAGGAGTCCCTCTCTGTAGAGTGGACCCTCATACTGCCCCACCTCAAACAGGCTTCAGAGTGGACCCTCACACTGCTCCCACCTTAAACAGGCCTGCTATCTGCAGAATGGACCCTCACACTACCCCCACCTCAAGTCCTGTGCTACAGGAAAGGCCTGCCACAGTCTAGAGCCTGAGCTGGGTGCTGTAGTGAGTCTGAACAAGGCAATGCTACATGCACGATCTGCATGGGGCACCTTGCCTTTGCCCTATGTGCCAGATGGGGCAGCCAGTGCCACTGAGGGAACAGGGCCAACACTAGGACCTACCTGTACCAGTGCCAGTGGGGTCACCTCCTTGGATCTACAGGAAGAACACATTCACCAGCAAATGCCCTCTGCACAATGAAGTTCCTGACCACCCTTCCCAGTAACCCACTTCTCATTTCCATCATGTTCCCTCCTCAGGGCTATGTCCCATACCCAAGACTGTCCCTTACCCCTGGGCTGCCCCTCACCCAGCCACCTTAACCCCAGGGCTGCCCTTCACCCAGTCCCTACCCCAGGGCTGCTCCCCACATCCATGCACTCATGATCTAAACCAGTGCTGCATGTGTCGCATAGGACCAAAGTTCAGGCTTTTGATGAGGACACTAGGCAGTCACTGGGCTCCCTGGGCAGTCCTCTAGGCCTTGCTCTCAGAGTGTCTTGGTCTGGGTGACCCTGGGGGATGGGAGACCCAGCACAGGCCCCTCTAGGGCCCAGCACATCTGCAGCCATGAGGACTGCTCTACTCACCACAAAGTTCCGGATGGACCTGTGGAAGATGGTACCATCGTAGTAGTTCGTCTTGCACAGGCGGATGAAGTTCTCACAGGTCTTTGGAGTCTGCAAAACAACCAGGTAAGGCTGCAAGGCCCGGGGAAGTTGGAAGGGGGCCAAGTGTTCCTTCCCTCTCAGCATGCAGTGGGAAATGCCCACAGGAGGCCCACAGCACCCAAATGGTTAAGACGGGCCAGGAGCTCGGGAATAGAGCAGCTTAGGAACGGTAGCACTAGAGAGAGACGATGAGAGGGCCGTCACAGGCACCCACATGGATGTGTGCAAAGGAAACACCCAAACGCCAGCATGCCCAGTGTTCCCTGATCACAACAGGCAGTGTGCTACACACACACACACACACACACACACACACACACACGTCCATGTTCTATCAACACCATGACCACCGATGGCCCAGAGCTCCGCATAGTGGGTGGCTATACACACCCCCACCCCCATGGTGTATCAACACTATGACCCTAATGGCCCAGAGCCTTGCACAGTGGGTGCCTGACCTTCCTGGTACACGGCCCATGCTCACCAGGTCACAGTGCAGCTCCAGGTTCAGGCAGCCCTTGTTGGTGTGCAGCCGCACGTAACCTTTCTTCTTCACAAACTGGTACCTCAGGACATCCTCATCGATGGCAGCTGCAAACAGAAGGTCTGAGCTCCGGGCTTCCCGCTACCCAGGGCTATGGCAGGACCAGGCCTCAAACAGGTAAGATCAGGATCAGTATGCACTTAGTGAAGCCCAGGGGACAGATTCCCAGACAGACAGACAAGTTCAGCAGCAGCAGCCTGCTAGGGCCTGAGAAGAGGCCCTTTAGTCCTGGACAGGCTTTGCTGGGCATGTCAGAATAGGACAGGGCAAATGTACAGGATCAGTGAGCCCAGCAGTTAAAGGCTCCTGGACAAGGCTACAAAGTGGGGAGCCGTGTGGGGGAGTGCAGACAGTAAGCTCCACATTAGGGCTAGAAAGAGGGGAGCAGTGGGATGGGGCACAGGTAGTAAGCTCCTGGATAAGGCTGAAAAAGTGGGGACCAGTGTGGAGGAGCATAGGCAGTAAGCTCCTGGATAGGGCTGAAAAGTATGGAGCAGTGTCGGGAGTGCATGCAGTAAGCTCCTGAATAAGGCTGGAAAGTGGGAAACAATGTGGGGGAATGCAGGCAGCAGGGAACATAAGAGGAAGGGTGCTTGGGGATGAGGCCGAAGGCAACTTCAGGGCTGGCCGGTCACATGCAGGGACATGACCTGGAGACAAGGGCCCCTAAGGGCACAGAGGGCTGGTTCTAGGCCACGTCAGACACAAAACCCATGTTTTAAGAAGGCTGACATGGTATGGCATAGGGAGGGGGGCAGCTACCTGCTTCATGGGTCGTCTCTGGGACCATGGCAGTAGAGGTGAAGGATGCACTGACCTTCCCAGTAGAGTAATGGGCCTATGGGAAAGAGTCCAGTCACCATGAGCCAGCTGGGGGCCAGCCCACAAGAGAAGGCCCTCAGCGTGAACTAGTGTTGGTTCTAGGCTGGCTCAGCACCTCCTGAGGAAGGTTCCCTCCCTGAGTCCTTCCACCAACTCACAGCATTCAGCTTGTCCACCTTCTTCTTCTCAGGGGCCTTCATGGTGGCAGCCAGAACTTCATCCCCTTTGAACTCCTTGTAGAGCTCATGCAGAGTCTCCCGGGTCTCAGTGTTTGTGTTTTTCAGATAGTAAGACGGATCTTGTTTGGCCTTTTCTTCATCTACAAAACAGCACGGTGGTCCTGAGCCATCGCGCCTGGGGGACATCATCCAAAAGTCTACCATTGACAGGGGTGCCATGGGGCTCAGCTGGGCAGCAACGCTGGGTAGGCCCCTCACAGCTGTGACCTCACTGGGAGACCTCATGGCTGGTTGCAGTTCTAGTGTGCAGTGAAGATGACCTGTTCTTCATATTGATCTGTGTGTTCTTTCTACCGTATGGTTTGCCCTTGTCATTTGAGAAGCCATTGTCATTTAAAGTATTAAGTGTTCAAAATCCTTCTGGACATAGGAGGGCCCAACCCCAAACATTCTGGAGTGGGGCTCGCTTGCTTGGCTCTGAAGGCTTTTTATATAACACTCCATGGAGATCAGCCGCCCCGCAACCTGAAGTGTTGGTTCAGGCAGTACAGCCCACTGACTCCAGCACCGGAAGCTGAACCTTGTTCTGGAAAGCTGGAGCCGTCAGTTAAAGTCTGAAGTAGGCTTGATCTTCCAGCTCCCAAGACACCAATCCTCTCTCCCTGCTCAGCACCTCTGTACATACCTGGGTCTGTCACCTTCATATTGTTCTTCACGTGATAGAAGTTGGAGACATTAAATTTATCCAGATTGGTGGGATCCTGCAGCAGAGAGGAAGGAAGCACAGCAGAGTGAGCCCCGAGTACGCTGTGGGCAGGCCCTGCTGGCTGAACCAGAGCAGGTGGCAAAAAGCAGGCAGGGGATGGAGGAAGCTGATGCCCTGAGGCTGCCCTGGGTGTAAGGAGTACCAAGAGCCAGGTGCAGGGTGAGAAATGGAAGGATGGTGGATGAGAAGAGATGGTGGCATAGGCCAGCAGGCTTCATCTCAAACATGTCCTTTCTCCTGGAACAAGTGGATTAGCAGCCTCTGAAATCTGGTAGCCGCAGGATGAAGGGACACGGGCAGTATAAAGAACCACCTCCAGGGCTGCTGCACAATGTCCCAGTCCCCACTTCTTCCCTGGCCACTGGGAAGATACTTCAGTAGATGGCCTCTGGCCATGAAGTCGAAGACTCCACCTTACTTCACAGCAAAGAACCTGGCTGATCATCATGCAGAAGGGACAAACCACAGAGGGGACTGGCCTTGACCATTATGCTGGCCCAGCCAATGGGCCTCCAGATGCCTCTGTTCACCATGGAACTTGTTCACACCCTATGGACACCCACAGACTCATCCTGGCCTGAATGCAGGGCACACGAGTTGGCCAGAGGAGGGCCAGGCCTGCCATGTGGCCTTTCTGACACCCTGAGGAAGTTCTTGGAAGAGATGGCCCTGGCACAGGATTGGGTAGGAGTGCATGTGGGGAGAAGGGAGTGGAGGGGGGTAGGAGAACACAGCTGATCAAAGGCCTGCTATGACCAAGAGTGCAGGGCAGGCATAGCCCATGGATGGAGCCTGGTATGTCCCTCACCCTGAGAGAAGTGGGGAGGACACTTGCCTGAAGGGTGATGATGTCCTGCCGGGAGAACGGCTCATCTGTCAGCAAGTCGCGGAAGTTCTTTGCCTTGATGTTCAGCTGTTCCACTGCCTAAGGCCAGGAGGAGGCCTGCATCACGGGGCTGCCCCAGACTCGGCTGCTGGGCTGTGGCCCTGAAGCATCACTCCTGCATGTGTGGTCAACCCCAGCCCAGGGCACATGTAGAGGGGCTGGGAGACACCTTCAGGGCACTTGTCTCAACAGCTGCTCATCAGCCAGACATGGGGCCCACAACCTGGGCCAAACCCACCTCAAAGGCATACACGTTGCCAGTTGTCCTGATGGCTACAATGTGGCTATTGTTGGTGAACACTGTGAACAGCACCGGACAGTGGTATTCACCTAGGGAGGAAGCAGAGTCAGTCTATGGCTCTCATTCTGGGTATCCACAAGGAACTCAGGAATTGTGATGAACAGTGCTACAGGAAAGGCAGGGAATAGTTTGGCCAAGGCCCAAGGCAGAACTCCCGTGCCCACATCACTAGAGCAGAGTGCCAGTGGGGACAGCCAACTGTTTAAGTCATCCCACACAAACTGGTGGTGAATTCCTATTCATCTGCAAAATCTATCCCTACAGACCCTTTCTGGAGTCTGTCCTCAGACAAGCCAGGAGATCTCCATTCCTGATCTCTACCTTCTGAAGTTCTGCCTTCCAGCAGCCTGTTCTATAATACTCTACCTCTAACACTCACTTGGACTAGCAGAAGTCTGCCAGTTCTTCCTATAAAACATGCCTGCCCCTATCACCTCCCTGACCCTGGATCACATAATAACCTGCTATTTGCTCTTCCTATTTTGGCCCTGCAGTTAGGGACTCTGTGAAAATACTAGGTCCAAGCAAATAAAAATAAGAGGGAGAAGAAAGAATGTTACAAATTTAAAATGCATAAGACTTTTACAAATTAAGACACTCATATGTATCCACCACACCACACAAATGTATGTGGACTTAGTTTAAATTCTGATTTGAAAGCTAAAAATGTGATTCTGAACATCTGACTACTGACTAATTGATAGTAAGATATCATTATTTATTTTGGTTTTGATTTTAAGAGTCACCAGTGAGTGCAAAATGACCACTGCAGAGCTGTGAACAAAAAGGCTGGGCTCCATCCAGAGACATCTTAGAAAATCAAGAGGGGAAGAACTCACTGGCAAGCTACAAGAAAGGATGAGAAAAAAAGTAAACCTTACATTACAATATGAAGAATCCTTTGGCAAAATATTAAAAGATGCAGGCAGTAGCAAAAAGATGATGGAAGGAAAACATAGAGTCAGTGTACAAAAAAGCAGTTGGTAGAAATTGATCAATTGATCACATGATCAAGGGCCAACTGTACTTAAAGGAAGAAATCTACACTGCACTGAAGCCAGGGGTGAAAATAAGACTCCAGGCTTTTTATTGGTATAATTTCAAGTTAGGTATTTCAACAAACTCCTACAGCCCTGGACATGCTCACTAGTCTGTGCCAACAAACTTGGAAGACAGCTACCTGCCAACTGACTAGAAGAGATTTGTATTTGTGCCCATTTTTTTTTTTAAAAAAAAGCAAGCTATCCAACAGAATGTGGAAATTATCAATCTCAATAATTTCATTTTCAAGCAAATCTTGCTGAAGATAATTTAAAACAACTGAAGCAAGTACATAAACAAAGAACTGTCAGAAATTTAGGCTGGACTCAGAAAGACCACAGAATGAAGGGTATCAATGATGTCCAAGGGATCGTGGCTGAAAGCAGAGAATAGCAGAAAGATGTCTGTGTTTTATTTGACAGTGTGGATTATAAAAAAAATCATAGATAACACTGAGAAGAACGGGAATCCCAGAATACAGGAGTCATCTGAACAGAACAAAGGGCTACTACATGATTTAAAACCAAAAAGATATGAGTAAAAGTTGTACCCTTTCACTATTCCTAATTAATATGTATGCTGAGAAAATAATTTGAGAAGCTAAACTATATGAAGAATAATGTGGCAGTAAGACTAGAGGGGGGAAAAAAGATCAGAGGAAGTTTCACCTATAATCTTTACATTATGCAGATGATACACACTGCCTGCAAAAAAAGTGAAGAGACCTTTAAGTGTTTACTGAAGGAAGAAGAAAGTGTAGTATTCAGCACAGATTATACTTTCATCATAGAGAAAACAAAAATCTTCCCAAACAGACCAAGAAACATCCTGATAAATAGAAAAAAGCTGGCATTGTCAAGGTCTTCACTTTACTTGAATCCACAATGAAAGCCATGGTATCAGCAATCAAGAAATCAAAAAAGACTACTTTTTAGTTAAAGGCGCTACAGAGACAAGAGACAAACAGGAGAAGGTGCCACATTGAGCCAAAAAGCTGGAAGAAAGACGAATCTCCCTTCAGGACTGGCAAAACCAAGAGGCAAGAGGTGATAAGAGCCATCCTCTGGGATGAACCCCCTGAATAGTCTCCTGGGACAAGAACATGAGTGTTTGCGCTTTAATGCCCCCCCCAGGGAGGTGATTCTGTTACAATGGCACCAGGACAGTCGAGCTAAGACCACTCACCTTCATTGTTCTTTGCAAATTTTAGCTCAATCAGGGACTTTCTGTCTAGTTTCTGGAAAAAAAAAGAATAGCACAGAATGATATGGTATAGATTAATGATAATTAACACAGATTTAATAAACAACAGTAACAGCCAAGTGACAGGTGTGAAATATCGAGGCAGTAAGCCTGAGCAGAAGAGAGAGATCTAAAGATTCTTGGGACAGCTAGTCCTCTGCAGCTATAAACCAAGAGTGGTGCTGAGGAACCATAGCATAGCTTAACCCAGGCTAAGGGAGTCCCAGAGAAGGTCACATAGGGTCGTGGCTAACAGTCCCTGCCCCAAGAGAGAACAGGTTTGTAAATATACAGAGTACAGCTCTATACACAGGAATGCCCCTGAGTAAGAGGGTGAGGCTGCAGCCAAGGTAGATGTTCTACACTCAAAGTCTAAATTATTCTGGGGTAAATATGGATTACTTCTGAAATGAAAAAAACAAGAACATTTCTCAAGCAGGGTGGTGGGGTCTCCTGAACACATAAAAAAATGTTAAAAAGTGGGAAAAGAGAATAAATACCCCACTGTGCTAAGTGGTTTTAAGGTGGGAGCCTCCAGTGACCTTGTGGTAAGGAGCTATGCTGCAATCCCAAAGGTAAGTGGTTTTGAAAGATGGGAAATCTCTCTCTTTGCCAGTTAGTGCCTCTAACCTCTAAAAACCTGGTGGAGGGTCAGCTATAGTCAGTTCTGACTCAACTGCACACAACAACTACCTGTCTGTGGTCCTTCCGAGAGACCACATCTACAGATTGTCATCATGGCCAGAATGGTCCACTGGTGGATGTGGTGAGATGGCTGGAGGACACAGAGGATTACTGAACCCTACTCTCGCCTATACACCCACAGACCCCAGCTGGTGCTATTTCTGGCCCACTCACAACCTTTAGTGTGTATGTGTGGCTCCCATCCTTGCTCTCCTCTCTGACCTCCACCCAAGCCTCAGCTCCATGGCCCTCAGGACCCAGCCACACCTGAGGCCACTCCCTGAAAGATTAGGCCCTGGCTGCCCAAATCGCTCCTCACAGGGGACTGCATTCTAATTTCTCTCTCTGCAGATCTGGCACATCCACCAAGCAACCCTCAGCAATGACAATGTCAGGGACAAGAAGCACCAGAGAAAGATGTGCAGCATCGTTTAGGAGGTTCCACAATGGAGCTGCTGCATCTCAGCAGGTGTGCCATCCCACTCTGCCAGTCAGAAAGCTCTCTAAGTTGAGGTAGGCTGATGCCAGCCTCCCAGTTGAGTCCCTACTCACCAGCACACACTCTCAAGTATGGCCTGCAAATCCTAGGACTTCAAAGTTATTTCTCTAGAGTCATAGACAGGTCATCTTGTAAAGATCCTTTATCCTACAAAAGCCCTTCTGAGAATCAACGAGGAAGGGCCAGCAGGCAAGCAATACAGACCTGCTGACTGACTGAGGGAGGTCTCGGCAGAAACTCAGCCAGGAATGACCTGGGACTTGACTTCATGGGGCTGACAGCTGACACCTGAGGAGTCTCAACAAACTCCTGCAGGGCAAAAGTCAAAAAATCAGTTACCAAATCAGTTAAGTCACTAGGAGAGAGAGGTGACAGGTGTGGACAAGAAAACAAGAGTGTACATCCACATTCACAGCAGCATTATTCACAATGGCAAGAAAATGGAAACAGCCCAAATGCTCATCAAAAATGGACTGAGAAACTGTAGTACATTTACATGAAGAAATACTATGTAGCACTAAGTAACAACAAATTTGTGGAGGGTTTTTAAAAAAATTATTTTGTGCATGTACCATCAAATCAGATCTGACTGGTACAGGAAGAGATTGCCCCTCCTTCTCCAGCAGAGCATCTGGTGGATTCAAACCACACACCTCTGGGATAGAACAACAAATTTGTAAAACATAATATATAACTTTGGAAAATCAGTCTCATAAGGACAAATACTGCATAAGACCATTGTAAAAACATACGGATAACTAGTAAGATGTGGATAAAAGTAAAAAAGGGGAAGGAGATATCGGGGAGACTAGGGGTTGGAGGAAGTCACAGGGTCACAGAGTTTGGTGGGTGGAGGGAGATGGTGAAGAAATTAGGAAAGATCCAGTGAGGACCTGTGAAGATGGGGTAATAGTGGTGACTAATTTTATAAAACACAATGTATGGGAATGATTGCATGAAACACAGTGTGAACGCAGCAAATGTGTGAAACGCAATGTACATGAATAAAACACAAAGTATACAAATTTTAAGAAGCTGTCTGGACTGAGGGATTCTATTCTGCTATCAACTTGAATTAAATAAAGCCTAATAACTTCCTTAATAAACCCTAAAATCCTCAGCATGGTTCTGTGTAGCTACTGCAATGGATTTTGGACCAGGGTAGTAGGATTGGTGCTGGAATTAGTAGCAAGAGGTAAGGGGCATACTTGACCCCAGGAACTGGCTTATGTTGTGGATGTTGTTAATGAGCTCAGTTCTCGCCATGGATAAGTAGATGTCAGATATGGTCCTCCTCATTCTGCCCATGCTCTAATTACAAACACCAATAAAACTGTAAAAATTTATGGAAAGAAAACCTTCTCAGTATTATGAAAAATCAGAAGCTATGCATTCAAGAAGCTCATCAAACCTTAAATAGGACAGACCTCTAAAGAGAATCATCAGGACATATTATAGTCATAATTAAAAAAACAAAGAATCCTGAAACCATCTCAGGAAAAGGGAAAAATTACCCATGAGGGAGAATTAGTAAGACTAAATTCTGATTTCTTAACAGGAACCATGTAGCAAGAAGACAAAAGAACAACATATACAAAACTCTGAAAGAAAAACAATCGCCAAGTAATTTATATCCAGTAAAACAGTCCATCAACTATGATGACAAAATTAAAGGGATTTGTGAAAACTAAATCAACCTTGCAACCAATAATAAACAGAAAACGAACATCTTATGATAACTTTTTAGCATAAAATGAGTTTTCTCCTTAAATACCCTATAACAGTTTGAAATGAACACTTTGCACTACCATGAACAAAAAGGACTCTTTACAACTAATGGACATAAAAACAGTCTCACACAGATCGACTGACACAATGACTCTAGAACTAGGTTCAAGTATATCAGAGATGATGAGGATGGAACAGGATAGGACAGGGCTCAGATCCATTGTCCACACGGTTGCTGTGAGTCACTGTCAACTAGATGGCACCTAATAAGAGTAACATTTTTATAATATCTTAAAGGGGAAAGGGACTTTTACTTCATTCACTCACTCACTCACTCACTCATTGCTACTGAGACAGAAGAGACTCACAGCTGACCTTCCAGTGGGTTTTCAGAGGCTGTAAAACACATGGAAGGAGACTAACCATCTTTCTTCTTTGTAGCAGGTAGTGGATTAGAACTGCCTGCCTTTGAGTTGGCAGTGCAATTCCTTATCCACCGAGTCATCGGAGCTCCCCTTTTACAACTAATGGATAAAAAACAACAGCAAAGAAGAGTGAAGAAAGTAAATTAGTGTAGTACAAAGGACTAAGGGTCCATGTGAACTCTGAGACCAGAATTGAATGGTGCCCTGTGACCACTACTGATCTGTCTGAAAGGAATCACAGCAGATGTCCTCAAAGTGGGCAAAAAATACAGAATAAAACTCAAAATACTAGAAAAGACTAGGCTCAGTGTCCTGAGAGAGACTGGAGGAACCCCCAAGGTGCTCAGATATGAAAATGAAGCCACCTCAGCCTCTAGCCCAATGGACAGGCCTACAGACAAGTGGTCAGGAACACCAAATGGTAACACATGGAACTCTCAGGTCAACAAGCCATAAATGGCAAAGACAGAGAAAGCTGAGAGCAGGAAGCCACTGCAAAGAAGGGAAAAAGGACAAAAAAGAAATGAGATACACAAGGAAGAAACAGAAGAATGTTGTTACATATGAGGATTATACTCCAAGTCCCAAAATAGAATTTGTATAAAGTGCTGAAACTGGAAAAACTAATTTGCCTTGCAAACTTCCACTCGCATTACAATACAAAGTTAAAACAAAACAAGAGGGAGGAACCATAATAAGTAAGTGAGTCACTGTAATGAAGCCAAAAGTTGGCCTTTTGTAGCAGGGGTCCCTGATGGCCAGGCAGTTCCACAAAGTGGATGGGCCCTAGGGACCAGGGAAGACGCATCTTCAAAACTCAGGTGCAAAAGCACATAGGACAGGAAATCACAGGTTGTCTCCCCAACTGACATCAGGACCTCAATAGTGGCTCCCAACAACAACTGTCACTGAAAACACTGCTTTCGGCGAGCTCTGGTGGCCTGGTGGCAGGAAGTTGCACTGCAATCTCAGAGGTGCACAGTTCAAATCCACCAGATGCTCTGCTGGAGAAGGAGGAACAATCTCCTCTTGTACAAGTCAGATCTGATTTGATGGTTCACACAGAAAATGGTGAAATAAAATAAAATTTTTTTTAAAAAAAGCAATGCTTGTCACACTCACCTGGCAGAAGGGGGGGATGCCACAAACTGCCCAAAGAGGGCGCTCCATCTCCCTCAGGGCAGCAAGGCCCCAGGTGTCCAGGAAACACCAGTAAGAAAAGCCAAGAATATACAAATTGTGGCTAACCTTGAGGAAAATAGGAATCTCAGAATACTTGATAGTGATTATGTGAAACCTATACTTGGACCAAGAAGCAGTACTCAGAACAGAGCAAGGAAACACTGCATGGTCAAAATCAGGAAAGGAGTGCATCAGGGATGCATCCTGTCCCCAAACCTTCTAAATCTACATGCAGAACAGATCATGCAGGAAGCAGGGCTGTATGAGAAGCAGGGTGGCATCAAGATTGCAGGTGACACAATCTTGCTTGCTGAAACTGAAGAAGACCTGAAGTGCTTGCTACAGAAGACTGTAGTTTTCGATAAGGATTGAAACTCAACATCAAGAAGTCAAAGATTCTCACCACTGGGCCAATGGCAGCATCATGATAGAAAGAGAAGAGGCTGAGGTTGTTAGCAATTACAGCTTGCTCAGCTCTACAATCAACCCTCTTAACATCAGCAGTCAGGAAATCAAAAGATGAATTGCATTGGGGAAATCTGCTGTCATGGACCTCTCCAGAGTGCTGAAATCAATGTTATCAGTCTAGAGACAAAGGTGCTCCTAATCCAGTTCATGATCTTCTCAATTACTTGTTATGCTTCAGAGAGCTGGACAATGACTAAGGATGACAGAAGAATAGATGCCTTCGAGTTGCAGTGCTGGAGAAGAGTATGTACCAGGGACTGACAAAAAAAACAAATTGGTCTGTCTGGGAGAGGGTGAAATCTAGTTTCTCCTTGGAGGCTAGGATTTTGAAGCTCCACCTCACATACTTTGGGCACGTGGCCAGGAAAGACTGGTCCTTGGAGAAGGACATCACGCTTGAAGGGTGGACAGACAGCGCAGGAGAGGAAGACCCCAGAGGAGATGGACTAATACAGTATCTGGGGCAATGGGGGGTTGGTGTGTCAGAATTAGGAAGACTGGCTCAGGACAGGGAAGGGTTCAGAAATGTTCTATGTTGCAAGGAAGCTCAATAGTACATAACAACAAAAATATATTATATTGGTTATTTTTTAATTTAAGCCTCATGTTTAGAGTCAATAAGTCCTCAGGGAGGGCCTCTGTATTTAAAAGTCAGTTGTTACTATATTTCAGAGGAACATTGTTCTAAGTGGTACAGCACTTTTCTGTCAATGTGTTGTACTGATGTAATCTAGGGTTGCTGTGATGCTGAACCTTGTATCATTGGGGTGTCAGATGCCATAACGGTTACCCATGGTGGACAGTGTTTGGTGGAGCTCCAAGTTTAAGATGGGTTTGGAAGCAGAAGTGGCGTCCACTTCCTAAACAACATGCCTCATAGAACTCCATGAACTCTGATAAATGATGATAGTTATAGAAAAGCTTCAGGCCATTTGTTCTTTGGGTCGCTATGAGTTATGCTCAACTTGATGGAAATCAACAACTCTACATAAGCCCAGTTCCACCTCACCATCTGGTTCCAAAGAGTTAGGGAAAAGAGAATGGCAAGGCACTCTTTCAATCTGAAAAAAACAGGCAAAAGACAAGCTCCACCTGCTTAGCAGGTGACAAAGGTGGCTTCTGGTCATAGCATGCCTAGCCCTGAGCCTTCATCTCCAGAGTGGAGAGCTACACAGGATCCACTTTCAGTAACAGTTTGTCTCAAGTAAAGAAAGGTGAGAGAGTAAACAGAAAGAAATCCAAAGAGTGTAAAGCAATGGAACAGAATATGGACTTCTGCTGCTCTGCTCAAAGCTAGGTCCCTATGATACAGAGGCGGGTCATAGTGATTGCTGAGGAACTGCAGGTCTTGCAAGGAGGTAGAGAGGTTGTGATGGAATTTGTTTACTGAAGTTAACAGCAAGAACATAAACCAAAGGGCCAAACACCTCACTAGCCTGTGTTGGCCACCCAGAGTTGTGCTTCCCACTGACCCCTTGGTCCTTCCTGACTACTGCCCTGATGGCAGTCTTTCCAGAAGGCTTCCTGACCAGGCCAGGCCCAGCTTACTGTCACCAAGGGCAGGTCCCTGATCCTGGCAGAGATGGCTCTAAACCCTCTTGACCCACCCAGGCCATCTGGTTCTGCCTACTCCCCTGGATGTCACTCTGTGCCTCATTGCAGACCAGACTGCTCTCCCACTGTTCTCCAGCTTCAAACATGGCCAGGGAGAGCAAAGGAGACCCTTGATGAGGATGACTGGCCAAACGCATGAGGCAGGACCAGTCACAACATACCACAAAGTCCTGATGAGACAGAGCTGATTCAGTAACCACTCGCAGCTGTCTATGCTTACCAACGAGAAACAAATTCATCATAAAAATGTAAATGCAAACTCATTTTTGCTATGTTGCTATTGCTGCATAACATCAAGTTGGAAATGACCCTCCAGCAGGTTTTCAAAGGAACTAAATCACAGGGGAGGAGACTGTCCAACTTTCTCTCATGGAGCAGCTGGTGGATTTCATCTCTGGCTTTTTGGGACTGTAGTGCAGCTTCTTGTCACTAGGCCACCAAAGCTCCTTGGCAGCATAGCTTCTTACCTCTAGGCCACCAATGCTCCTATTTTTGTCATAAGATGAGCAAATTTTTTTTAAAAAAAGGAAAATAAAGATAGTGTCCAACACTGTTGAGTGGATGGGCAAACAGTAGACTGAGATTTTGTTGGCATGCTCCTGGGGAAAGTATAAAACTAACTCTAGGGGCAACTGACCAACAGCTCCAAACTACAAATGCCACCCACTTCCAGAGACAACACTCAGACATATGCCCAAGGAAGACTGTGCAGGGTATCCTTGCATCCCAGCACTGACACAAAAAGATTTCAGTTCACTAGGGTTCTCATGCATGAATGCAAGGCAGCCTCAGGGAGCAGAGTGAAGATACACAGAGCCCTGAGCTGTGTGCTACAGCTGCATATACAGGTCTGTGGCCCAGGGAGAAAAGATTCACACCTGGATTCCAGCATGCACATGGAGGCATTGTTCTGAAAGGAACAGGCCCAAGAGGTGGGAAGGAAGGGAGCACCCAGCCACCTCGGCTCTGGGGTTCACCGCCTTGTCCCTATACACACCAAGACCACTCGAATGTAAGCACAACCATGGAAGAGCTTCCACTTGCACAGCCTCCTACCTCTCCGTTGCTGGGATTGGTTCCGTACTTCTTAAGCCAAGGAAGGATGCTCCTGGGGGGGGGAGAACGGACAAGAGGACAGACAGCATTATGACAACAGTACAGTGTGGCCTGGGGCACCAGCCCTAAAGGGCTGGTTCCAGGCTAGCTTACAGAGCTGGGAGTGGGGGTCTCAATGTCACTTTCACCATCAGAAGTAGGCCTGAAGAGTGCCTTGCTTTGTCAAGACAAAGCTGTTGTTGTGTATTGCTAAGTCAGAACCAACTCGTAGCTGACCCTCCAGCAGGTCTTCAGAGGCAATAAATCACACAGCAGAAGACTGCCTATCCTCCCGCGGAACAGGCAGTGTATTTGAACTGTGCGCCTCTGAGATTGCAGCAATTTCTTACCACTAGGCCAGGGGCCTCATTTTACAAAAGACTTGCTAATACACTCATGGCTTTTATTGTAATTATGTATTTGCCTCCAAACAACAATTAGCCTCCAAACCACACAAAAAAAATTAAATACATGTGATTGACTACACAGTAAAATGCATTCACAATTACACTTGTGGAGAATTCAGAATGATTTGGAAGCAAAAGCTCTCATCATAATCAAATAAAAAATGGAGCCAAGACAGCCATCAGAGCTTCATCTTGGTAGATAAAGGAAATATGAAATCATAAATTAAAAATCATTAATGATGATGTTCCTACATGAACATGGTAATATGTTTCTATTTTACTTTGTAGGGTCTTCCATGTTTTCGAAAATGATCAGGAAACAATTAGAGTAGCAGCCCAGAACACAAGTCTATAGGGAATACTTTTTTTTTTTTAAAATAGGGAATACTTTAAACACCTGTGTCATGATGATAGTTCTTTCATAAAGTGAAATGTATTCCATTTGTTAACATTCAAGAACACATGCAGGGGGGCCTTTAGAATAAAAACCTCCGGTGGTTAGTCAATCCCACTCAAGGCAGAACCAGCAGCACCTAGCAGCCAATACTGCCCGCCTGAGAAACAATGGCTCTTGTGCCAGGTTCTGAGTGGCCCTCTTGGGTCCCAAAGAGACTCCCCCATGGCTGACGGGACACCTGCTGGTTTGGCATAACCTGCCCCAGACCCCTATCCTTGGTAGGTTTCAACAATCTTCCCATTAGATCAAAATGTAAGGGAACACTCACAGTAAGTCAAAGACGACACCTTCTGGAGTGCACACTGGGTAGATGAAAGGCTGTAGAGAGAGACTGAGGAAGGGACATGAGTCAGCTGGGCCAGCTCTGGATAGCCCAACAGAGGGCTGACCAGGTGTGGTGGCAGGATTTTTTTATGGCTTTTCTTGCAACAATGAATGAATGAAAATCCAACTTTTCTATAAACTTTCGTTAAAAACACAATTTAAAAAATTTAAATAAGATTACTTTTCTATCCATTGTCTCAGCCCTCTCTGAGGGGCATGGTTTCCAGCTGCCTGAACTGTAGACACATGGTTCACCAATAATCAGCATCTTCAACATTATCAACAGCTATGAGGCCAACATAAGAGAAAGAGCTGGCCAAACTGTGAGACAGCAGCAAGGAGTAGCCTGACAGAGCCCTGGAGATAGAACCTGAGATAAAGGTTTTGCTTCTGGACAACTGAAGGAAGAGCTGGCTTAGGACTGCTATGAGAAAAGACTTGCTGGACAACTGAGAAAACTAGAAGCTTCTTGTATTTGTGTTGCTGGACTGAACCCGGACTTTGGTACAGCAGATCAAACATTTGGGATACTGTTGTCATCCCCCTTCATAGAATGAATAATGCAAGACACTTTTTAAAAAAAATATATAAAAAGGTGCACTTTTAAAACCTGGTTTTGTCAGGGCAGCTCTGCCCCCCCCCCTTTCCCCAGCACATCCCACCCCTTTCCTGAAAATGGCTACTGTAATAATCAAAAGTACCAGGTGCAACTCTATTTATCTGTTAGAGCTGCAAACATTGTTTCACGTCCCTTTCTCACAAATAACTATCCACAACCCCCAACTTGCTGCCAACACCCTAACTCCCAATTTCCTTGTAAGACAATATAAAACTCCACTGTAACTTTAAGTGGCAGCTGATAGCTGCTTTGGAGGCAGCCTGGCCGTTTCTCCTCAATAAACTGTCTTTCTTGGTCTTAACTGGGTTCTGTCCTTCATCAGTGACCTTACATTTCTGGTGCTGAAAGCTCAAAAGGGCCACCTGCCAGAAGGAAACAAACCCTAACTTTCCCTGTCTCTCTTGCTCCCTTGCACTTTCTCTCTCTACCTCCTTTCAAGCCTAACCCATATAAAGTAGAATAATCTCTCCTGAACTCGTTTCAAAAGGCTCAGTGGATTGGTTCTGCTCCGGCTCGAAGGAAGTGCGGTGCAAAAGGCTCAGTGGAGCAAATGAGCAACCTACGTCTCCTATTGTCTTCTTGAGCAAGTCTGGAATCTGTCCTGATTCCATATTGAGATTTTCTGGAAACTGTGAAAATGACTTCAGTCTCTCCTCAGTGTAACCTGTCCCTCTCTCACCTAACCTAAAGGCACCTACTATGTGATGGATCACCCTAATTCTTTTCACTCCTCCATAGGCTTGATCTGTCCCCTGAATGCCCCTCTTTGAACTGCTGAGAGGACACTCTTCCCTGGGGCTTTCTGCCTCTTGTCATTGCAGGCCTTCCAAATACTACCAGACCAATTTGGGGTAGGTGATGGTGGTTCTCCTGTCTCAGATATCCTGCTCTCTTCTAGACTCTAAAAATCCTAGTGCTAGGCCAGGCAGAATCCCTTGCCCATCTGGGCCAGCCTCTCTTGATGCTGGGGACACCCACATCATGGGCAGACCTTTGTCCATTGGAGGTATCTCCTCTGCTCCCTTGATATTCTCTTATTACATGGAACAGCCACAATTTCAATTAAATAATAGGTCTCAATAGCCCTAAGGTGGGATGCTTGAATTGAAACACTCTCAGAGACTTCAACACTTTCTACCAATGCAATGGCAGATGATCAGATATCCCCTTTGCTGAGGCCTTCTTTTCTCTCTGCCCTTTTCTCTCTGTCAAAACTGCCACTCTGTTCTCTCTGTCAAAACTGCCTACTTAGCAAATTCTTTTAACTCTTTCTAAGCCCTCTCCACTTTCTGATCAAAACTCCCTCATCATTGATCTCACTGATCCCTCAGCACCCCCTACCACTCCTGTTCTCCCACCTCTGCCGTACACAAAAATCTCCTTTCCATGACCATGTCCACTGAGGAATCAAAACCCCACTCCTTTTTTCCTCACCTCCCATCCTCTCCCAGACCCAGCCTGGAAATGCAGTAAAACTTTTTTACTCTCAATTTTTTTTTCTCTCTCTCCTCATCCTGTTCAGACTTCTGATTAAAAGAAAATCTCTGCAACTAAAATATCACTCTCTTCCTTTTCCAACAATGAGCTGCAAATAAAATTTCACCTCCTAGGGAGCTTTGGTGGCCGAGTGGCAAGAAGCTACGCTGCAATCCCAGAGGTACATGGTTCAAATCCACTAGGTGCTCTGCTGGAGAAGGAGGGGCAATCTCCTCCTGTACCAGTCAGATCCGATTTGATGGTACACACACACAAAATAATAAAATTTTAAAAAAAATAATAAAATAAATCACCTCCTCTCCTTCTCTGTTCCCAGCTCAGCAGATAATCTCACATACCATCCTCCCCTAGTGCTACCGAGAAAGAAACACAGGCAAATATGCCAAGTTCCTCTGCTGCTCCTCTCCTTCAAGTGCAGCCAGTAGAGCCAGAGTAGTAGCAGCAATAAACAAACAAACAAAAAAAACCTGTAAAAGATAAGCCTACTCATTCATATATATATAATTTACTTTTATGGAAATAAGTTTAATTTTTTTTGTTCTGTTGCTCTTTTCCTTAGAGTATTGTCCACCCACCTTAAAGTTTCAGCCAGAGTTTAAAAAAATTGCTCTACCCACCAAATCCTCCTAGTTTACTCTAAACCTTCTCGCCTCCCTGATTTACTCCCTCCTTGCTTTGATCATGCAGGACCACGCTGCACCCCCTGCTGCTGCACCACCCTCACCATACACAACTACCAGCTCACAGGGAGTTTCCTCACAAGAAAACTCCTCTAACTCAAATCCTGATCACCCCCTTCCTGCTCTCTCTCCCCTCCTGTCTCTAACACCTGCTTTCTCATGTAGCCTTGCAGGCTCAAGCAGCACCTCTCCTTCTTCTCAGGGAAGCTGTGGGGCAGAGGGTATTATTAAAGTACACATTTCTTACTCTCTCGGGTCTCTCTCAAATCGAATTATGTCTGGGTTCCTTCTCAATGGACCGAGACACTTATATAAAATAATTCAAAAATTTAACCCAGTCATATATCCTCTCCTGGCAGGACCTATATATAATATTCTCTTCCACTCTACTTCCCAAGGAAAAAGAAAGTTTGTCTAGCCTCCCAGGCACACGTTGATGTCCAACTCGGAACAGACAATCACCATCCTGTAGGTACTGCAGCTGTGCCCCAGGAAGATCCTTATTGGAATTACCAACTTGACATGATTGGCCATGCTGAGCACAACCACATGGTCACTTGTTTAATAGCTGGGCTACAAAAAACAACCCATAAATTATGAAAAGCACTGAAAAATAATCTCAGAAACCAGATGAAAATCCAGCCCACTTTTTATCTAGGTTAACAGAAGCCCTCCAAAAGTACACAAAAATCTACCCCAATTCGGCAGAAGGCATGTTGTGTTGTTGTTGTTATGTGCCGTCGAATCGTTTGCGACTCATAGCGACCCTATGTACAACAGCCCTAAACTCTGCTCTGTCCTGTGCCAATCGCACTGTCTCTGACACTCCCATCCCAGTCACTGAATCAATCCACCTCATAGAGGGCCTTCCCCTCCTGGCTGTAATAGTTTATAATGACCATTTTATCTCCCAATCAGCCCAATATTCGGGAAAATCTCAAAAAAAACAGAAGATGGTCCTCAAACCCCTCAACAAGATCTTTTAAATATGGCATTTAAAGTTTATAATAATAAAAGCAAGAAAAGGCAGACAAAGCCCAAAGAGATAAGGCTAGATACCAATTCTTGGTGGCTGCCCTTAAAGGCTCCAGTGCTTCAAAAGCACAAGTACCCTGTAAGACTCTGCTCAGGCCCTTCTTTAAGTGTGGTAAAGAAGGTCATTGGTTTAAATTCTGACCTCCACCAGGATCTTGCCCCAGGTGTGGAGAAAAGGGGCAGTGGAAGGCAGACCGTCCCCAGTCTTCCCAGAGGGAGGGATCAGTCTTCTCAGCTCCCCAGCTGACTGCCTCCCAGCCAGACCTGAGCCTACCCAGCCTGCTGGGCCTAGCCACTGAAGAATGAAGGTGTCCAGGACCACCAGCCCCCTCAAACATCACCTTGGAGGAGCCTAGGGTAACCATTCAAGTTTCAAGTAAGTCAATCTCTTTTTTAATAGACACAGGAGCCACTTACTCTGCCCTGCTTGAATATTCATGACCAACTTTCCCCTCACAGATCTCTGTTGTTGGTGTTGATGGTCTCATTTCCTCACCTTTAACCACTTCTCCCCTCCCCTGCCAAATATAAGGAATCCTTTTTCACATTCCTTCCCCATCTTACCTCAATGTTTTATGCCACTTTCAGGTCAAGACTTACTTTGCTGAGTGCCAAGGAATAGGCCTTGGAGTCCAAGGACAAAACAAGGATCTTTCCTTCACCCTTGCAGCAGACCTTTCAAAGCAGCTAAATCCCACTGTCTGTAGCTGGCCCTCCTGCCAGCAATAGCCTTTCTAGCACAAGAAAGCAAAAAACTGAACTTTGGTCAACAAACCACTATTCTATGCCCTCACTAGCTGAAAGATCTATCATATCGAACTCTAAAGAATCTCTCCCCCTTAAAATTTCAACTTTTCCATGTTATCTTTCTGGAGTCTCCTGAATTAACAGTAGACATCTGTCCGTTTCTCAACCCCACAAACTTATTCCCCAGCTCAAACTATGCACTTGCTCATTCCTGCATAGAAATGCTGGAAAGCCTAATTCCACACTTCAGTCATATCACTAGTACCCCTCTTGGCTACTTGGTAACCAGAGCATAGCTGGTTCATATATGGCAGCTCCACTACCTACCAAGGTGGGACCAAGCTTGCAAGATATGCCACTGTCAATAATTTAGGTCTCATTGAAAGTCACTCCCTTCCCAAAGGCACCTCTTCTCAGAAAGCAAAACCT